AGATTGTTGTTATACGTAAATTAAAAATAGTATTTTTTTTATCTTAAAACTAAATCTTGTTTGTTTTTGACATGCTCAATAAAACGTATTATGTTTCTGTTACACATTAGAACAATCTTTTACAAAATAAGAAATTCTATAAACTAAAAGCATCTTTCTGAATTTTCTATTTGGAAAACCAACTAAATAACCCTAGACTCTGAAAGGGTGTATTTTTAAAACAAGCTGATGAATTATTTCATACATCCAGAACTAGATTTATTAAATATTGAAAAAAAACTTAAGACTATTTCGTTGATTTAGACTTAATAAAGTAAAAATTAAATAAATCTTAAATTTAGCTCATAATCGACTATATTGTAGTTATATTGGTTTTAGTTATTTAATAATTTCACTATGAGACAATATCAATTTGTCATTTTATAGAGTTAGGATGAATATTCGCTGTTTTCAAAAAAAATTATACCGCCAAAATATTGAGATGTACTTAAAAAACAAAATTTATGTGAAATACTATTGATTGTGTATAATATTTACATTAATAACAAGTTTTATATTTTGTATTACGGATGCATATTTTCAAAATGTTGTTGAACTCTGATAGAAATAAAATATTACTAAGGGAATTATTTATTTAAACAAATTTGTAAAATAAAAAAGGCATACTATTTATGATTGAAGTTGAGTAGTTCAATACTCTACGTGGTAAAAAAGCAGAGTTTCAAAAACAGGTGTGTGCTAGATCCCGTTTTCGGAAACTTTTTGTTTATTTTTAAACGTTTTTCAGAAAAATGCTCTATCATACTTCGAAATCTTACTATGAGATTTACTTTTCTCGTAAACATTTTAGCAATTTATTATTTTAAATGAATACTTTTGTTCAGGGATAATCAATCAAAAAAATTTAATTACATTTTTGTTTTTTTTATTTGAATTTATAGTTCTGTTAAAATGCATACAAATACAAAATTATCACAAAAATATATATAAAAATGTAATTTATTTTGGTGTTTTTAACCAATAATGTAAAAAGTATTAAGCGAATTTATAATGTAACAATTTGGACTATCTTAATGTAAATAACATTATGTATTCAAAAATACGAACGGCATTCTCGTGTTCGGTAACAACTGGAAGAATGTGCTGCTCAAAATAAAGATGTAATGTAATATAATATAAATGTAAACGATTCAAATCTGATCGTGACATGCAGTGGACACCTGCTGATGCGTATGATGAAGACATCGTAAGGTGTAAAGAAACAAAAGATTCCTTAAAATATAAATGTATAGAAAATTCAAAACGATCTCGATTTATTGTACAGTATTTCAGTTATTTATTAATTTTTTTACTAGGGTGAGCCAATATGAATATTTTCCGATATCAAATAAATCGATATATTTGTTGCTATAAAAATAATGCAACATACGTGTTAAAACACTTTTTTCGGCTAGATTAAAAAATAAAAATTATATCATACTTTTATAATGACTAATATTACAATATGAAATTTTTAATTTTTCCCGAACTATACAAGTACTATTAGCAATTTAACAAATGTGCCAATAAATTAAGTATCAATCATTTTTTTTAAATTTATTTATTAAAAATGTATTGAACTTTACCATCAACTTTGACCATCAGAACGAATTTTGATGGCATAGTTCGAGTTTTAGTAACATTTTTGATTAATAAATTCTAGTGAAACACTTTTAACTTATGTAACAAAATAAATATCCTAATTGAAACCTAATTATTTTTCTTAAAATAACTATGACTGTATATTAGTAGCCAATATAGTACATTATTGTTTGGAAACTTTGAAAAAGATGGTAGATTGTTTTAATTAATTGTATAGTAATTGAATTTTTCGACGATATGATGAAATATTTATTTGAACATAAGTTTTAGGTATTTTTTCATGTTGGTAAACATGTTAAAATGCGTAGGTACTGGTAATCGAATTTACAATTTCGGGAAGTTTGTTGGTTTTAATTTCCCAGGAAAGTCTTTGAATATTTTTTTAAAGAATGTTTTTACCAATTAAGTATTTTACAACAAATAATTTTACCATCTGAATAGTTATAAGAATTACTTCTAAACGCATTCAAAGTAATTATTTTTGTCAGAGACAAATTCTTACGTGGAATATCAATTATTATAAATTGAAATGTTTACTAGGAAACCGAATCAATTATAAAGTATTACCACTAACTTAAAATACAGCTAATGGTAAATTAACTAAGCTGTATGTAAACAACTAGTTCCGTCGAAGACATTCGAGTTAGAAATCAATTTGTATTGAATGAACTAGCTCAAATATTGTTTTGGTGATCTTTGTTCAGAATGTCACACATCTAGTCCAACGGGTGCACATATGGCCGAGCTGATGGTTAGTTCTTTGAACTTGGTGCGTCGTTTTACCTTGTTTTTTACCTACTGTCTCGTGTGACAAATTACTATGTGTCTACTCCACGTAGAGTTCAGTTGTTAAACGGCCGGAGAAATATTGAATATTCTTTGGAAATACGAATGTCGGTTGGGTTCGAGTCCACGGCAACACGGGGGCCACTTATGTTGTTCTCAGAACCAATACCACTAAATTTGTGTACACTTCTACACGCGTCTATTAGTGTCATTTTAATGAGATTTCTTTCACTAAAATGTGATAATAATTATAAGAACAGCTCTTCTCGGAATAGTCGTGACGTATGAATGCCATAGAAAAAGAAACAATGGAGCAAATCGTGTGAGGCGAAATGATTTTAATCGTGTTTATTAATAGACACTATATATTTGAGAACTTGTTAAGAGTTGAGAAGGCCGTTGACAACCGAAAATATTCTCAATCATTCTAAGTATTTTATTAGAATCTATGTAGATCTGCTAACTTCACTGTAATTATGAAATTATATTAACTATATGTTATTAGCTACAAAATGTTACAAAATAGTAAACATTCTATACATTTTAATACATTTTTGATCGTAATCAACAAATTGCTATATTCATTAAGTAAACGAATTGAAGTGGAATTTTCGACTGATATTTTGGATTTTTTTTTTAATTAAGTAGATAAACAAAATCTTCCTCAGATTTATCGTTTTTGAGTTCACTAAAAACTGTTTAATATTACTTTAGTTAAGCAAGTTCCTTAAATAAAATTTTCGGTGTCGGTACCAGATCAAAGAATGTGCCTTGAAAATTCTCAAATAATCAGTAAAAAAATTGTCCACCTATACATATTTTGAGTTTTTACTATGTCAGATTTTGATGCTACGGATCCATAGATCGCCTGATTGCGGAATCCTATCGTAATATAGATTTAGTAAGATTATTGATTTTCTATTTATAACTATTAGTATCTCTAAGCGAAAAAGGTAATTTAAAGTATCATAACAAGCATTTAAAAATACTGTTTGTAGCACATTATTATGCACCAATAAAAACCAAATATGTCAAAAAGTTTAATTTGAAAGCAATTTTACTTTTATTATTCGATAATTTTTGGAATTTTAATTTAATACGTCATACTTGTGCCTCCTGTCTCGGATCGAATTTCATATATCCTCAAAATTTGTTTTACTATTTCTACAAACTACACTATATTAAATAATATCAAATATAAAATATAATTGTCCTTCTAATATAACATTATGTATTAAATCTATATAAATAAAAACAAAATTGTAATACTTGATAAAAACTACACTTTTATCATCAAAATTAAATATAAAGTTTTTTAAAACACATTAAAATAATGTGTTATGTTATGAAATATTATCGGCAAAAGCCAAGTCTCAATTGTTGTACACATTAATGTCTTTAATATCTTGTAATATTTTCTTGCATATAGTATATTTATTATTTTTAACTGTTTTATTGAGGCTAACCAAGCGTTTACCGTCTGCAGAGGAACATAGAACGTTTTTTTTATATGATAGGATACTTTTCTACATTTTTAGAATGGAAGAAAATCTAATTCTTTGTCCGGAGGACTAAGCCTTCCTAGACACATTAGCAAGAGTGTCTGTAAGATTTTTTTTCTTTTAGATGAGTTATAGAAAAAAGAATCGAAAACCACTACATTAAATAAATGAAAATTTAAAAATTGAATAAATTTAAAATCAGCGACCCTTAAAATAAAATAAATAGAGAAATTCAAAATTTTTTTTATCTTAAATCAGGAGAAGTTATTTAAGACAAGTCATTTTTGATTTCAAATCACTGTGCTTCGTAGTCGTGAGGATGCGATACAAGTTCGGGGCGATTGAGCACGTGCCATGATTCCCTCTGATAGCAGTGGCGTAATTAGGATTTTGTTTTTCGTTGAGGTATATATAAGAAAAATTTAGAAGTTATGAGCCTTGCATAAAACCATTTAATAAGGCGCAGGTAAAATCTTTTCATCTTATTTTTCACACATAAAAACTAGATGATTGAAAAGAGATGAAAGTAGAGGATTTGGATTCGTTCCTTTATTTTTTTCAATCATTGATTCCGTTGGCCATGAAAAAGAAAATGAAAAAATTATACCTACGTCTTTGATTTTTTATAGAATCATTAAATTTTATTAAGTCAAAACTTAAACAATATTTAAAAACATTGTTATTTAAAATTTAGCAATTTGTTTATGATAACATTTTTTTTTTTTATGACACAACAAAATATGTAACGTCAGTTTCGTTGAATTTTTTTTAAACAAATTTTTATTTGTGATAACATTTTGTTATTTTTTTGCTCATTTTAAATAACGATCCAAATTTTGTTGAGCTAAAAAAAAAAAATATATAATAATAATTTTTGTCCTCCTTGAAAAAACAAATCTCAGACTAAAATTTAGACTTTAAATACTAGTTTGGCGGTGTCAGTGTGTCGACAGCGAGAGAAACCGCCGGGGGACCACCGGCGGCGCTGAAAATTGAACCTTGTCTAGGTGTCAGGCACGTGGTGTGCGACGGTTACGCATGCGCGGCGTGCCAGCCACACTACGAAGTCGACCGGCCGGCACACTGACGTGTCGCGGCGCGCGTGTGTTTAACTGTGTCCGGCGATCGACGGACGTTCCATTCGAGTTCGAATCACAATTCTTCCGATCAAAGTGGTAACTTGTCCTTTTTCAACTTTCAACGGAACACCGCATACTTCATACATTGTTTCCGTTCGTACATTTAGACGTGTCACTCAGAGAAATTCGTTTTTGGAAATAGTGGCGGCAACTATGAAGTCGCGATTTCTGCCAAACGATCCTCATCGGCGTTTACGGCCGACACGTGTCCGACACGTAACTTACTGATACGCTTTTGTCAAACAGCTGTGCGAAAACTGCACTGATAGTATTACAGCGAGACAGTACTAATTGACGATCCCCCCGGAGATCAACACGACAAAGCTCCTTCGTGTCATTCCATCCGGTCATGCCGGTATCCTTGCAGTGGACGACATCAGCCACCCGATGAGTTGTTGGCTACCAGTCGTGTGTGTAACGACGCCACCGCTGACCTGAGCGTTTGTGGGAAGTATGTGGAAGACACGTAACCGATACAATTGGTCGTGGTCTATACGTATTGTCGTTATTGTAGTTGCCACAGCCGTCACGGTCGCTATGTCCGAACCGCGTGAATCTGCCGCGTCCTCCTCTACCGCTGCTGTCACGTCCCAACTGGAGCGGGCGCCGTTCATGTCTGTAGCCGTTGGCCAAGACGGTGTTGAACATCAGACAAATATGCCTGGTAAGTACATCAATATTATGTTCTTAAGGGCTAAAAGCTTTTTTTCAATTTTACCACCAAAAGCTCGTAAAAAAATTAGAAATTTATCTCGAGATGGTTTTCTCGTAATGAGATTTTATTACGTCTCGCTTGCTTTCAATTTTTATAAGAATTAATTAATTTAACTTTCATATGTTATTTTTAAGAAATATTTTTTAAAGTAAATTGGATAGTATTAAATTTACTCACAGTCTTTATTATTACATCATTACTAAACTATTAATTAATGGGCCGTAGGTACTTTAACTTTACGCTACTATTTAGTCTACGGATATTCCTCGAAAGTAATAAAAAAAAAATTATGTAAAAAATATTAAAGCAGCATATTGTGGGTATTATGTAATCAATCATGGTCAAACAGTATCTGATTGTCAAGTTTTAACGAAAACTGGGGATGACCGAATTGGCTAAGATGTTTTGAATGTTTAGTTCTCTTCTGATATAATTTGCATTGCAATTTTTTTTATTTATTGAAAAACAACAGCTTATAAATAAAGTAGTAAAATCTTAAGCGTATTTGGATAAAATTGTTGTGCCCATGTTCACTAAAATTTCAATCTAAAACTTTTTATGTACATATAATTATTGTGGAATATGAAATTTATTGTCATATTATTCACACGAGTTCAGTTTAATATACTTCATCTTCCCTTAAAAATTTCCCTTTTTGTGGTTAATTACTTGACTTTTTTTTCGTTATACACAATTTTAATGTAATGAGTATAGATATGATTTATGACTAAAAAAACTTGTTTCCATGAATGCGCGTTCACTTATGTTCAAAACCAATTGACTTCTGAAGTTATGTGGGCAAAATTGGTTGAGAAATCAAACAGCTATCATAATAAATTAACACCATACTACCAAATGCAGTAATTTATTGAAATTTCGGTATAATTTAGTAATAATAAAATATGTTATACATTATTCTTTATGATTCATATGTAATGCATAATTAGTATTTCATCACCGTAAATTCTAACAATAATAAATTGAATACTATCTTTATTTTCGATATAACCATATACTTATATCGAATATACAAGAGCCATAACATGATTTAATAATTACAAATTTCTTATATTATGAGTAACTTGATCGAAATAATCGTAACTATTTTTAGTCAAATCTTATCTTATATATTCGAAAAAAATGTTTATTTACCATAGAAAAAATAACAATTACACCATTAAAATTCTGAATTAAAAAAATATTAAATCTTTTTTTTGTTCCAACTAAAAATTAACGAGTAATTTTTACATTAATACATCAAATCGCATTAAGTTGTCGGAGTATGTAGTTTTCAATTGCATTTATTGTAATTAATTCTTGAATTAAATTTAATATATTTCTTTAAATTAGACTGTATCGAAATTGATGATAAATTCTTAATAGGCGACTTCATTTTGAATTGCTCGTCAATAATAAGTCCAAACGTTGAAACCCGTAAACAAAAAATACTCAACTTCGTGTGCTATTATTAGTAGTTATACGTTTGTATTATTACATAGTTAAACAATACAAAACGTGAACGACTACGATTGATAATATAGATAAGATCGGCGTTCAAGTATTTAAAAAAATCTTCAGGATCGGGAGATAAGTGTAATCTTTATTCTTCGGGCCCCCTGGACTCAGGAATCGATTGTGGGAGGATAATATCTATAAATATTTTAACAATTTGTTATTCTATGTAAATTGAAGAGAGGTGGACTAGAAAAATTATAGTTAAAAATGTACCGCAAATAAAAATCGTCAATAATAGTGAATTACCGAAAAGTACAAACTAGGCGTTTGTTTTTTTAACCGTACTCTCTTTCGGTGTATTCAGCTAAAGAATTGAAACACCATTAGTGTATGCACAGTAATGTAATTCGGTCTTGACGATTGGTCATCAGAAGGCATTGAACAGTCAAATGAAGATAATCCGTTTCTTTCGTTATAAAGGATTTTCGTTGGTATTCATGACTCCGAGATCGGTCAGGCATATACGAACAGCATTGGGAATTACCAGTGGGCCCCGGCGGCTAGTAAAGCATCGCCATGTGAGACTATATGTGTGCATGTTATGTCGCACGTGAAAGGTGGCTGTCCTAAAAGGACTCGGTTAAGAGGCAAACTGGAATGCACTGCACAAACAATTATTAGCATGCGTTCTCCGTGCGATCAGCACGATACAGTCTTGAATAAAGCAACGATAACCTCAATGGATTAGCCGTTTTTTTTTTTTGATAATGAACTGTTTTAAAAACCTGCAGGCAGATCATGGACCTTGTCGGCATCAATTAATTACTATTGCAGCTCAGTTCATTTAAATCATCTTGCATAGAAATTTTATTAGAGTTATTTTTTTTCACGAAAAGTTTCACTTTTACTGAACAAATTTACATATACAAATTAGGCCTTTCAGCTGTACAATACATTTTAATACGATTATATTTAACCGACATTTTTCCTAGACGGTTGTATGTGCTCTCTATGGTTCTGTTTCAGCATAAAAGTGTACGCGTGCAATATTAAAACAAATATACATTTGTCAGTAATACACTTCTTTTTAATGTTACGATATTGATTTTGTTAAGTTTTTTATGAGTGGACATGTAGGACGAAAATAATGGAGTTGGTTTGGCAACACGAGATAAATTGTCTAAACACATCTTCCGTGAACTAACTTTTCTGTATTAACTTTTGATTCATAGTCCGGTCTGATACATTGTTTGTTAAGTTATACGGATGTCATTTTACGCATTAAGGGATCTAAAAATGTTCAGTGGACGGTTAAAATTTATCCGAAGATTTTGCCAGCCATGGTTAATTTAACAGTACAATAAGTATTTTCATAGAAAACAAAACACAATGAACGTAGGACGTGGCACATTGTAATAAGACTTTGTAAAATAAATAAGAATTGTTTGCGATAAGTAATATTAGAGTCTATTACAAATTTTAATAATAGCTATTTAGCAGTTTTGTAATAGACTCCTCAATTTTTAGCTATTACGGTGATTTATGACAAGAAATGTTGACTAATAAATTATCATTTCTAGTTTTTATTTTAATAAATTTTGTAGATACTCGTGTTTTGGTATATTACTCTATTCGACGGCACCGCTTCCTTGACTAGTTAAAATTTAACAAAAAATAGCAACCCGCTGTGTTGATTTAATTTCAATGTTTAATTAACAGTTAATCGAGTGTAACTCTCCATAGAAAAATATAAATTAACAAAATCCAATATGGTTAAGCGTTTTTTAACGGTATAAACTGTTATAAATATACATTTTTACCATAATAGTTATTACAAATTAGATAAAATAATATAATTATTGTGTTTCAATCGAACCTATAATTAGATCGATTATATTTTTAATTTTTTATTTATATTACAGTCGAATCGCCAGTAACACGGCGTTTCATGTGTTTGGTTCGTGTCATGTGGAGGCGTTTGCTTGAGGGCAAACCTTGATTGAATTATTAAAATGTAAAATCGGCGTGGGTGTGATAGATTTTTGTATTAATACACACATTTTCCAATAAAAGGTTAATTATAAACTTTTAAGGGTTGTGTTAGCCAAAAATAAACCTGATGAAAATTTCAAAGACTTTAGATATAAATTTCGTCTAATGATTTTCACATATTCGTTTCTCATAAATAAAAAATACATGTTAAATGTTGTGTGTGCAAGAAATGAATTTCATTGGTTAAATTTAGTACTTGGAGTATTTAGGGTTTGAATGTCAGTCACTTCCCAGAACTCATAAAACAAATATATTTTAGAATATCGTGTTTGATTACCACGAGAGCTTCTTTTTTATTTTGATTAGAATTTTTCAAACAATTTAGACATTATTCAGTTAAACGAATATTTGCCGTTGAGTACAAAAATAACGTGTGCCATCAAAATAAAAAATAAATATTTAGTAAATTATTCATCACAATTGTATTATGGAAAACTGAGAGGCGGCCAAAAAATAATATGCCGAGTTGTCTAGTTACGCAGGTCAGTGTCTGTCTGGCCATCTTCGGTCGTTACGGGAGGTCAGGCATGGCACGCACGCATTTACGCATCGTTCCGCCGTCCTTCCCATTCCGTGTGCCATCGCCGTCAGCACAAACTACCCCTCGCGACGTTGGCGGTATAATCACCACCGTTACCGACGCATACCGTGTATATATATATATATATATGTACAGGCATAGTACGTGCATTATAAATTTATCGGTTTCCCCGTGGGACTATTATTCGGTACTATTATTACCACCTCGCTCGTCACTGAGCCGCTACGCTACGGACCGGCTCTATTTACAGCGATACGTATACATAAATATAATTGCATCGGTGTGCGTGTGAGATAATGAACGGGGAATAGACTAGTGCACTATCTGCATGCACATACTACGTGTTTTATGGGCATTGATCGTCCCGACACGCACGCGAGCAATAAAAATGCACTGGTCTATCCACTATTGGGACGCCTGAATCAATAACTTCATAAGACATGGGGGCGGGGAGTGAAGTTGCACAGCTTTCCATGCACTTTGCAGTGGGGTTAGACATTGCACAAGTGCGTTTTATTGGTAAATTCAGACGCGTTATTGCTTTTGGCTGTTGTTTTCGAGAATTGTAAATGTCGCGCACAACATATAAATATCTGCACGTTTAAAACGGCGGGACAAAATGGGTCTACTCGAGGGAATGAAATTAAAAAAAACTATTAAAAAAAATTCAATAAAATTAGTCAAATGCAAAGTTGTGTAACTATTTTATTCGATCATTTAAATTCTCAGCCTACACGACTATCGATCGACTTTTTGGCCTCGGTGCTTTTCAAGTAGCTCGATTCCGTACTAAAGAAATAAACGATAATAGAAACGATTTGTTCGATGAAAAAAATGTTATGAGCAAAAGACAAAATAGCGTTTTACAGAATTTTAATGAAATAAAAATATTAATTCCCATATTATCCCATAAGTCCAATGGATTAATCAATATAGAAATATATCCATTGACTAGTGGCCGCCACTATTTTAATTTTACATCATATTATGACGTTAGTTATTCATAGTAAAAAAAAAATTGTAATAAACGTTACGTTTTAAATAATGTATTTAAATATTAAAAAACAAGAAATGACGTCTATGGATAATTTGAATTCTGGTTGTACTAGATTTTTTTCAAAACGCATAATTAATTCAAAATTTCGATTACCAGTTATTTTTTTAAGTGAAAATATATTGTGAGAAAAAGGAAAAATGTCGTGCGCTTTAAACATCAATAATAATAAATTCATCATGCTTAATGAGTAAACATCATCAATGTTGATTTATCGATTGTTTAAAAAAAAACGTAAATTTCTGTTGACTCATTCAACTTGTTCAAGTGACACTGATAAAATACCCGTTTAATGTATCACAGTGTTTCTAATCAACTATTTGTAACACGTTAGTCAATAGTCGTGTGTCACATGGTGTTTATTGTCTCAGGCCTCTAACTTAATGACAGAATTCTATTGAATTGTTAGGCATTTTCTCATTTTAACTAGATTATTGACACCCATTTAAATAATTCTGATATCTTAATAGTCGGTGCATTATAACCGTATAGACCAAATAAATAATGTCAGTTGGTAAGACTAACATAAATTAAATAACTTCAGTGAATATTTGATTTACATAAAAAATATTGGAAAAAGCTAACTATTCTATTGAATATATTCTTTTATAAAGAAAGTTCAACTATTGAATAGGAGAACCGTTGTGTAATAATAAAGCCCTTGTGTTTTCTTGTGCACTATGTTATTTAAAGCCACGGCTCGTTATTCCCAAATAAATGCTTTGTGTCCAACTTAAAAAAAATTAATTCAATTATAACTAGTTTTGTTCAGGACACCTCATACTAGTATGACACCTTATAACTAGTGGCCGACCCCAAGTAGTTGGGATTAAGGCGAGAAAGAAGAAAAAGAATTCAATTATAACTAGTGTAACTCTAATCATGAGCTGCTATGTATTTTAAGAATTTAAACATGCCTCATCGAAATTGAAAATATCACGGACAGCATCATTAAGAAACAATTTCCGTAGCTCACAGCTAGAATTAAAATTTTACTCACAAAGTGAATTATAATTAGCAAGTAAAAAGAGAAGTTAAAAAAAAACCAAACAACGACACGTGTGCTTTACAACTTCAGGTAATTCCGGACACTGAAAATTAAACAAATATTGGCAAAATCAAAACTGAAATTGTACATAGATTGTACTGTTAACCTTATTTGATTGGTTAAGGATTGACTTTAGGAAACACCCACACGAATTTTGACTTTCCGAATTTTATCGACAAATTACCTTGTTTATTTTAGCCAATTAATATGTCTGATGATAATATTAGTAAAGAATGTAAACAGTCGTATAATCTTTTGATGAAAACCTATACAAGTGTAAATATAATCGAATCGTTTGGATATTTTTGGAAAATTATGTTTACATTTCATCAATCTCTGTATTACGTATGTTTATACTTTTTACAATTATTTTTTAAAGTAATTGTTATTGAAATGTTGACATCTATGATCCACATAGCAAAATAATAATAATAATTTGTAGCTACACAATTCGTTATTAATTGGGATTAATTAATATATTTTACTCCTGTGTGATCCACCAAGAAAGGATTTTGTTTAATAATTTACTTAGATTTTTTTTATTCTAATTATTGGTAATTAACATTTTTCAGATTCAGCGGGCAGTAAACAACATTGTCCTTGGTGCAAACAAGCATCCGACGCGTTACCATCAACCGCCAACGCGAATAGGCACCATCATCGACGAAAGCACAAACTGCGTGGCCGGCGGCACTATGACAGCGTCGCTAGGTCCAGCCTAGACAAACAGCGAATAGAAGCAATCAAAGAACAAATACTCTCAAAGCTTGGTATGACCGCCAAACCTAATGTCACCAAAGCTAGGTCCACCAGGTTCCTGGCGGAAGCTCTAGCCGTTGAACCACTGTCGGGGTTAACCGCTACTGATTCCGACACTGCCACCGGGAACACATTACCGCCCAGCACGCGTTTTCCTTTATCGCCCAGAGATTCCGATTCTGAACCAGATGACTTTTACGGCCGTACCAGAGAAATAATTGGATTTGCAGAACCAGGTAAACAATTAATTACAATAACTCTATAGACCTACTTAACAACACACTAATACGAAAATTGAATATTCAAGAGATATTTATCAAATAGTTATTTATGCTATGTCGTAGAAATAATTAAACTTGGTCACTCTACGCCATTAAAACAACATGTGTTATTTCATTGTTATGAATTTCACATCTGGTTTAATAATTTCGTTAGTTATATTCTTTAAATAAAAAACATTAACATTTAACGCTATTATAAACTTTCTTTATAATATAGTTGAAATTTGATTTATTTGAATACGCTTAATGGTGCAGCCTTCCGGCTATTCGAGTCGATGAATTTAAGTACAATTCTTGTGAGGCCGGTCGAGTCTCGATTTTAAAAATTACCTAATCAATCTGAAAATACACATCTATCAGTACGATGTAGGTATAAATATAATGTTCATATGTGTCTTTAAATAAACAGTCCTATGCGCAACAATAAGGGCCATTGTATAACTAGAAAAATTAAATCCCGTATTAAGTGTAAATTAACGTTTTCAAATATATTAAAAAAATTACGTGGCATTCAACTTGTATTTTTGTAAACCAACGTATTTTCATATAGAATATGGACGTTAAATAAGTAAAATAAGAACACGTTTTGAACGTGTTCAATTGATTTAAAATCATAATTTAATTATACTGTTAGGTATATAATGAAGTGTAAATGAAACTGTATTCATATATTTTATCTGTAGAACTAATTTTCAGTATTTAAAATTTGAACTTATCATTTTATGGCTATATGATTCTCTAAAAATAAAAACTTGTGACCAACATTTTCGTGGAACTTCCAAACTATATACTAATCTATAACTTTTTATAAGTTAATTTCTTATAGATCATTAAATTTTTTAAGTCCCCTACAGGTCTATTTTCAGATCTATTGTAAAAACCATACCCGAACTAAAATTCTGCGTACGCTACTACTTTTATAATATCAAGTGACTTTTCAATATAAAATATAAATACAATAAAATTATGTATTATTCATACTTGCACACACATATAAATCAAAACTACTGATCCACTAGGTTATATACAGAGTTATACATTATGAGTATGTCTGAGTTTTTTATTCTAAATAATACAATAAAGAGATAGTATAAACACATATGAATGTACTGCATTTGTAAAAAAATATTTTTTTTATACTGGGGATGTAATTGTTTTTGTAATCAATTGAATTTGGTACTTAACTAACTTTTTACACGAAACATCCAGTTAGTCATATTCTAAACAAAATACTTAATAGTATCGTTATAAAATCTTCAATAAATCTTTGGTCTAAATGAACGCTTAATATTATTTTTCTTTACTTTTTATTATAATATAATCTTTAACCATATAAAATTAGAATAATTTCAATTTATTTTCATAAAAATTTGTGATGTATGAAATTCTAGCAAACATTTTAGATAACTCAGCTGCTCTCTTAGTCGTTTGAGAGATGTTTACGCTTCTTTAAATCTGAATGTTCGATATTTTAAAGATAAATGAACAATAAAGTGTTGCATATATTTATTTATTTATTATATAATTTACGCCCGCAAAAGGGCAAGAGTATAGTAAACATTAACATAAAAAATTATAATTAATTATAGTAAATTTAAGACATTATGTTTTAATTTCTCCTTATCATCTATAAGAAAATCAATATTCTTTAATTCATTACAACAATTTAACATTCGATACATAGGGCTACTTAGAAAAAAAATTTTCTGTTTGTGATACAGTATATACATATAGTCTGTAAAGTAATAGTTTGTAAATAATCTTGCAAGATTTATATCACTACTTTAGTAGACAGACATGATTTTCGGCATTTGCTTTATAGGTCAACCAGTTGACTATGATTTTTAAAAACTATACTCTTGCAACGCGGTCATTACCCTATGCATCGAGAAATATATTACTGGAGTTTTGTGGCGTCAACCTGTCTTAAGGGGCGCGTAAAGTGAAAACGTCGCTCGAGGACTTGTATGCAAGTCTACCTGCAAGTCATTTCACTGGTCCAAATAATATATGTGTGTGTAGTTGTATTGTCGCCGAGTTTCTATTTTATTTTGGTACCTTTACAAGTGATAGCCCATACTTATGTTGTATGATTTATATGTCATGTTAAGAAAAAAAATGCCAACATAATGATTAATATTAAATATAAGCGTTGTCAGTAAGATCTGAGACTTTTTATTTATTATGTTTAGGTATGGTTTTATAATATCATTTATCGCATCCATAGATAAGGCTTATTATCTATAGTTTTCAGAAGACGATTATGCTTAAGATAAATGAATTTATTTCATTTTACGTGCTTCTGCTATCTATTGTGTATTTTTGGTTATAATTTCTGTACAGTTAAATGTTTAAATTGTGATATCATATTAATATTATATCACAAATATTTATTATTTTTATGGTAATTAAAACATTCCTTTTTTATTACACATTTTTGTTGTTTTTATAAAATTCAACACATGTTTAATTATTATTAATATAGATTAGTTCTATCGTAGAATAATAGTTTATTTGGAAATTTCTTATACATTATTTGAATATTACACATTTATTTGTTCATATTTACACGATTTTTATAAAAAAGAAAAATAATATTGAAAAATTTAGGATGGCACTTGTAAAAATCGTTCGACAATAATATAATTTATAATATTATTAATTAACAAAAAAAAAATTCTCGTATGTTAGCTTCAATTAAATTCATCAAATATTAACTAGATATATGAAGATATTCTTTTTTTTTGGAATTGAAGGTGACTTAAAAATAGCGTATATATATATATATATATTTGTATGATTTTGATAAACTGTGAATAGTATGTTATGGAATATGTGATCTATCACCAGTACTTCATTTGGTAGACCTCAGGTATCTATTGCTAGTGAAAAGATCAAACGTCGAAGGACAGTAGCAATAATAAAATCTGTTAATGACAATTTAGTTTTTGTTACACAATTATGCTTTAAAGAACAAGATAAAAAAAGGAAAGTAAGCTTTTAAAAGAATCGACTATGACAATGCCAACTCGTGCTAATATGAAAAATCAGAAAACATTAATAATGTTGTACCCGATGCCAATGATGAGTCTTTGGCTTTAATTATGGATGTTACACTAATATAATGACAGTATAAATTAATTAGGTTATAAGCTAAAGATAAAAATGCAAATTCGTATCCACCTTGTAATAGTGCGAGAGAAGCGAAACTCGTATTATTAACAACAATAATTCGGTAATGACAATGTGTTGATTTAAATTGATTTTATTTAAAAGGCATCCAGGCGCACATATGCCTGCAATGGATACGGCATTATAGGAGAGACGGCTTGGGGGCAGAAATACCTATCCGCAGTCGTTACCGCCGCCTCTTTTGAACTCATTTATAGAATATTAGAATTGTTAAAAGAGAACTTAAGATCCAGATCGTTATGCTCATAATTTATAGATACTGGTCCACGCCCATATGTTCAGTGCATAATGTAATATGTCAGTTCGTTATTATTATAATACACCGCTATTAGCGTTATATTATTTTTATTATAGTTAAATGTTGGTATAATATTAAACATATTTTTATATTTTTTCCAATACTGCTAATTGGGCCACTATAAGGTACCCCGTTTGAGTAAGCCAATATGTAAGCTCATGGTAATAATTGTGTTAACTACCGACACGGTGTCGTTAAAAATGCGTTCCGCCAAAGCACTTCTTTATAGCTGTAGGATGAAGCATATTTATAGAATTCCGATACAGACATTATAAAAAAGGCTAGTATAATCATAATAATAATATGATTATTATAATGTAGAAGACTCATTATTTAATGTGTAAACGAGTCCTAGCCGTAGTTAACCGATACTTAAATTGAGCTTCAACACGATTTATTGCAATGTTTTATTAATTGTTGAACGCGTCTCGAATGTGTGTTCAGAATGAACTTGTACCAAATTTAATCATTTTATATTATAGATATACAATACGCGCTTGTGTTTCTTTTTCAAACGTTAATTAAAGGGAGAGATCTTTAATGGAGAAAATACTACATAATTACTACGAGGAGTAATTGATCAAATATTTCTAGACACTCGAAACATTCTATTATGAATGAATTTTATTTTTAGTATAAAGTCATGATTATTAAAAAGATGTATGTTGGAAAGCATACTTTTTCTGCTTGTTCGTACCGATGGAAAGATTTAAATTTCGATATTAATCAAATTTTATTCAACTAAAAAAAGATCTATAATACGTTCTAAAATTTTGTACAGTCATAAACTAACTTGATTATTGCAGAGTATTATGTATGTCGACAATTACCCAAGTTATAAAACAATAAACCACTTGTCATATATAATTAATAATACATTTCAATTTTAGTTGATAATATGGAAATTATTTATTGTAATATTAATGAATTTTATTGTAAAATGTGTAACACGAAGATAGTGTCCTTGGGTCACTTGACTCGATTAAAAGAATATTAAAGCTTATGAAATCTATAATAGCGTATTTAAAATGTGTTAAGTAAATTTAATGTAGACTTCAAATATCTAGATTAGGTCAATGGCCAATACCGCCAAGGTCCTAATAAAAGTAAGAAAAAATAAATATTTAATATAATTTGCATAATATTAATTAAATAATCACAATAAGGATAAGTCTATTATTCATATGATACCTCCTTATTTGGTGATTTTTATTTTACAATTAATCGTATACCTGAATAAAAATGAAAAGTAGTGTTCGACAATACGATAAATTTCCTCTATTTACCAACACTATGGTGATTACTACTATATTTTTTACAAGCTTCCTGGTTGTCTGGTAGTATTTCCATTATTGTAAACACATACATAGAAATCAAATAATTAACCGCAACGCCCCCCTTAAAAAAATAATCTCGGAAACGTTGAAGCTTATGTAGACAGTGAGTATCGACCTATGGAAGACGG